GCTGGGCTCCGTCGGCCGCTGGGCAGGCCCTACGAGGGACTCCCTCCGGAGCCTTTCGGGTCTCTGAGGTCACAGGTCACTGCCTGGAGCGGGGCTGGCGCGTCCCAAAGCGAACTGCATGTTCTGGCTGAGTTGTGGGCGAAACGTAACCCGTTCCTTATGCAGTGGGTCACCTTGGAGCTGGCCGAGGTGCGGGGCCTTGCCTGTGTTACCAGTGTAGCTGCTACTGTGTGCTGCTGGCTGCACCGGCACAGCAAGTCCCCCCGGCGGGCATTCCCGGTGCGCGATCCCGTTGTTCCATCAAAAGGGGTCGGGGTGGGACCGGATGGGTTGCCTGTGCAATGCAGGTATATGACAGAGTGGAAGTAGTCTTTAAAAGTACACATGCTGTCTATGGGAACAACGGTCAGTCTTGCTCCTAAAAACAATGGCTCTTATAATGTTTGTGGCTGGAGGTGTTATAAAATGATGTGTGTGTTTATTGCTTTTGTGTTAATGCTAGAGCTTGCTGTAATACCTAAGCATTTAAAGAGACAGCTTTTACGTTACTAACATCTTCAATCAAGACAAAGGCTGCTAATGTTTATAATATGGGCAAGTGTCTCTCATTCTCAAGTATTGATCCCAGCTTTTAAATTTAACTCTTGTGGAGTAAACTTGCTGTCTATTATTTGCTGTTTTCAGGCTTGTTTTTATCTATTTCTCTCAAAAAACTAATAAGCAAGATGTCTGCTAATGAGAATGCCAATGCAGCAGCAGCTCGCTTGAACAGATTCAAGAACAAAGGAAAGGATACTACAGTAAGTATTTTGATGCAACTAGTATTTTAGCTAGCCATCATCTCTTTACATGTAAGTTGTAAAAGCCAAGAACTTCCTGTGAATGTATATCCTCCAGGAAATGAGAAGGCGGCGTATTGAAGTCAATGTAGAGCTGAGGAAAGCTAAGAAAGATGACCAGATGCTTAAAAGAAGAAATGTTAGCACTTTACCAGATGATGCTACTTCTCCCCTTCAGGAAAACAGGAGCAATCAGGTAAGTAGGTACTTGGAGTTCTTGCAGTATAAGCTCATGCAGCCACACTAGTATGAATCCTTTTTCGTGTGGGACACACTGCTACTACATATACGTTAGACTTGGTTGCATAGACTTAAGTTGGTAATGGGCAACACTCTTAAAATGTAGCTTAGCTAGTTGTGTTTAAGCCTACTATAACAGTGGTATGAAGCGCCTGATTTAAAAAAAGCTTTCAGTAGTTCAGATAACTGTAGGTAAAGCTGTAGCTGATGAGGTTTTGAAGTATCACATAATGGTATAATCTCTTAATAAAGGAAGTGGTTTTGAACTAGAGTCTATTTGTAGTATTGCATAGAAGGCCTCTGTGGTCATGAAGACGCACACTTCTCCCAACAAAGCATTCATGTAACTCTTTTATTGTACAGGTTTCAGCTCACTGGACAGTTGAAGAAATAGTCAAAGGAGTTAATAGTAATAATACGGAGCTTCAGCTACAGGCTACTCAAGCTGCCAGGTAAGGAGTTTAGAGGTAACCAATTCAGCTGTGCAAGCCAGTTACTAGACAAGGTAAAAGAATTGGCTTATGAGCCCAGGTGTGGCAGCAGCTATGGCTCTTTTTATCAGACAGTATTTTCAAAACCTGAGTCAGCCTTCTATATGATGTTTAGGTACGCTTAATTCGGTCATAAATCTATTAAAATAGTGTGGTTTCTGAATGTTTCAAGTATCTGAACATTTCACTATGAACGTGGTTTTGAGGTGGCAAAATAGACAGTGGGCAATCTCAGGGTTGTAGGAGTAAAAAATAATAAACCCATTGTTACAGCAGAATAAGATATCTTTAAACTCTGTTAACACTTGACTACAACATTTGAGTGCAGTGACCTACCTTAGAATAATGTGAACAGTAAGATGACTGGGGTTTGAAGTATACTGAATTTCCCTTCTGCTTCCAAATCTAAAAATCTTTTTAGCGAGCTTGTATATTGCTGCGGTGCTGCTTCTGGCAGTCGTTAACCTGTCTGCTGAGAAACCTCTAGCAATTCAGATGTATTATGGCTCCTGAAGGTCTGCTTTATTTCAGAGTCTGAACAGAACCTCTAATATAGGGAAGACATGCCAAAACCAATATTAACAGAGGTTTAGGAAGCTAGTGTTCAGCTTGTCTGTACTTCTCCTTTATGTCTTGTTGCGTTGCTTTCTCTGAATGTCAAGGCAATGCTAAATGTTTTCTTTTAGACTGATTAATGAAATCTGTTGTTCAGATCTCTGCAGGCAAAAATAATGCTTTCTGTTTGTCTTCCTCCTTAGGAAACTCCTCTCAAGAGAGAAGCAGCCCCCAATAGACAATATAATTCGGGCTGGTTTGATTCCAAAGTTTGTCTCCTTCTTGGGTAGAGCAGACTGTAGTCCTATTCAGTTTGAATCTGCCTGGGCGCTTACCAACATTGCTTCTGGCACATCAGAACAAACAAAGGCCGTAGTAGATGGAGGGGCTATTCCAGCCTTTATTTCACTACTGGCCTCTCCCCATACTCACATCAGTGAACAGGCTGTGTGGGCATTAGGAAATATTGCAGGTATGTCAATATGCTACACAACTCTTTCAGATCTGCTCCCTTATTTCAAGTAGGACGACATTACTACTGACATGGCATGTAGCATGCTGAGCTTATTGGGAATCCTTCCTTAATGCTTTTCAAGTAAACACCTTCTCTGCAATGTAGAATATGCTGTGGACAATTAATCTTCAGACCTGGTATAAGATGTCTCCTGCAAGACCTGGCAACCCGTGGGTTGCATTACATAGGTTTCTTCCATATTTTAGTTCAGTCTTGACAGAGCTATGTAACTGTGCTACAACATAGGGCTTTTTAACGCATCTCACTTGATGTTTTTGACTTATCAATGAGCTCTGTGTGTTAACTACAAGGGGGAAGGGAGGAAGCAGATGGCTCATATAGTTACTGTGTATGTGATGGCCAATATTCCTTGCTTTGAAACAGCTACTTACTGATGGGAAAGTATTATATACTGAAGCTTTTCATGTACTTTTCATGATTTCTTGATTTGCCAGTGTTGGATGATAGTCTTTTAAAAAAAAATCCCCCATCAATTAATAATGTAATTATAATATTGTATTTGCTGTATTATTGTGGTTTCCCACAGCTATGCCTTACAGAGAATAGTGAATCTTCACACAGAAGAAATGAGCTCAATAAAAACCTTGTTTGATTGGGATTTTCTTAAAGTTTGCCCTTGGGAGATTTTTAAACTCAATTGTAAAGTACTCTTTGTACCTTGCTATAGAATAATTCAATCAAACTTTGACATTCCTTCAGCAGTAGAATATAGAACCCAGTCATGCAACCAATGATTATAATGCATTTGAAGTCTTGTGTTGTAGGAAGAGCTCTGTTCTAGTGGTAGGGCTTAGATATGTTTTCAAAGAAATATGCAAGTCCCTGCTTAGTTATGAACCCTAAAAATAGCTGTATAGAAAGCATATACTAAATTACCTCTTCAACAGAAAAAAAAAACCTCAGTAACTTGATTAGCAAAACACATGCTTGTCATATGACTTAACCATGGCAGTAGTCCTTCTGTCCTCATTTCTTTCTCTCCAGCCATTAAGCGGTAGAAGAATTCATCTTTTAACACATAATAATTCTATTTACACACATCCTTCTATTCTGGTTTTCACCTGGCTATTTTTCTTATTTTCTTAGGGGATGGTTCTACCTATAGAGATCTGGTTATTAAATTTGGTGCAATAACGCCTCTGCTGAGTCTACTAGCTGTTCCTGATCTCTCTTCTCTGGCTGTAAGTGTGTGGTATGATTCAAGTTACAATTACTAGTAAGTGAGCAAAAGAGCTCAAGTAACTAAACAGTTGCTACCCATTTATTTCAATTCTTCCAGTCTGGATATTTACGCAATGTTACTTGGACCCTCTCAAACCTGTGTCGTAATAAGAATCCTGCGCCACCCATAGAAGCTATTGAGCAGATTCTTCCAACTCTTGTTCGGCTCTTGCATCATGATGATCATGAGGTGTTAGCAGACACATGCTGGGCACTTTCCTATCTAACAGATGGTTCCAATGACAGGATAGAAGTTGTAGTGAAAACGGGACTGGTGCCACAACTTGTGAAACTCCTGGGATGTAGTGAACTGCCAATAATGGTAAGCTATCAGACATGCAGACTTCTGTTGCTTGATTTGAGTCATGAATAAAACTGTGTTTAGAATAGTGTCCATGTAAATCTGATGATTGTTGCAGGTTTTGCACTGGTAAGACTTGAGCTTCCCTCTTGCCCCACATGAGGCATAGACTATTGCTGTTTAAGACTATCAAGCTTCTTGTTAAATTGTTGGATTTAACACACAGGCCAGCACAACAGTCCTTTAAAGCTTACTTTTAACTCTAAACTACTATTGCAAATACTTATTCTAGGGACCGTGTTTAAAGAAGGCTCTATATACACTATAATATAGTATAATAAAACTACATTAGCATTTAAGAGATGGTTTGTCCTAAGCTCTGCTGTGGGTAGCTGTTTGCAGATTGGCCTTGGAAAGTGTGCAGTCTTAGCATGTTAATGTCTGCATATGTAATGTTAATGAGGAGCTTAAAACTCATCAGTGCATAGCATATGCTGTTAACCGGGAAAGCTAGAGCGGAGGGGCATCAAGTATGTCTGTATTTGTTCAAATACAGATTAGACAATACCCATTTTCCTAAGTACTATTTCATATTTGTTTCAGACTCCTTCACTAAGAGCCATAGGAAATATTGTTACTGGTACTGATGAGCAGACGCAGATTGTTATTGACTCAGGAGCACTATCTGTCTTTCCAAGTCTCCTTTCTCATCATAAGAGCAACATTCAGAAAGAAGCAGCATGGACAATGTCCAACATCACTGCTGGACGACAAGACCAGATTCAGCGAGTTGTAGACCATGGTCTTGTACCTTATCTCATTGGTATTCTGAGGAAGGTAAACAAAAACTATATTTATTCTGTTGAGGCATTTGCTATTACTACTACTGTCTGTGTTTAAATACCCTGCTTTTTACTTTCATAGGGGGATTTCAAATCTCAAAAGGAAGCTGTGTGGGCTGTGACTAACTACACAAGCGGTGGAACAACTGAACAGATTGTGTATCTCGTTCAGGCTGGTGTTGTTGAGCCTCTGCTGAATCTCCTCTCAGCTAAGGACAGTAAAACTGTGCTAGTTATTCTGGATGCTATTTCTAATATCTTCTTGGTATGTGGATGCAGTATGTGGTCATTGTCCAAGGTGTTGCTAATAGTTCTCCAGTAGTTGGTGACATACAACTTTCCTGAGGTTATCCCATGCTTGTCTCTTGCAGACTGCTGAGAAGATTAATGAGACTGAAAAACTTTGCCTCCTGATTGAGGAGTGTGGAGGTCTAGACAAAATTGAAGCTCTTCAGTCACATGAAAATGAACAAGTGTACAAAGCCTCATCCACCCTGATAGAGAAATATTTCTCAGCAGAAGTAAGTGGCTGCAGGATGATTTTTTCCACTTTTATTTTCTATTCTAGCACTGACTACCAAGTTAAAATGCTACTGCTCTTTCAAAACTCTTCTTTCTCTTCTAGGAGGAGGAAGACCAAAATGTTGTACCAGAATCTACTGCTGCCAGCTACACTTTCCAAATTCAGGGCAATACTCCAGATACTTTCAACTTCTAGGTCTTGCACATACTGCAACCACCTGGAAGTTGTTCGGCACACAAATGACTGCCACGTCTTTGTCTTAATAGTTCCTCTTGGTTTTTACTGTGTTTTTTTATGTGACCTGTAGCACTTTGTCCAACTGAAACATACTTGAACAGTTCAAAACTGTACATATTATGTGAATTTCTAACTGTAAACTTCATTCTTTCTGAGATACCTGTAAATACTTGTTCTCTTTCTGGGTCTTGCTGTCCCTGTCAGGCATAAGAATGCAAGTGGGCAATACAGGCTTCTCACAAAGCATGAGCCACTGCTGTGCATAACCTCTTCATAACATACTACATTCTATGTAACCTATTGCTGTAATCAATACAGAGTAGGCTTTTAAAGAGGATTTATGTTTAAAGTTCAATAAAGTGACATCAACATAACATTGAACTGTGTCAATTGTTCTCTTAAAAGGTGACTGATAGGGTAAGTATATTTAATTAAAATTTATAATGGCAAGAAGGCAGGCCTAAATCATGAGAGATTCAATTCTGAAGATGGTTTTGAAACTGCTTGGTCACTCTGAGCTTTGACTTCTGCATAGAGCACCCTTTTATTACAGCAGAACAAATGAATTGCTGCTGCTGAGTTTAGCTCAGTTATGAATGGGGTAGAACTAATCAGATTTCTATCTTTTTGGAGAAATATTTAAAGATTGTGGTAGCACTAATTAACTGTGAGCAATTAGTGTGGAGGAGGTGTAAGTATAGCAGTTAACCAATTGTAAATATGTTCAGGCAGCCTTTGCATAGAGCATAGGAAATGCTTTGAAGCAGTTGCCTGACTTAAAGACCAAAAATAAAGGCCTCATCTTGGAATCTATTGCTCTTCTGCTTCTAAGCTGTTACTTACAGTAACCTACTCTGTCTTTAAAGGTGCTTCTGCAGGGTGGGATTGTGGGGGGAGGGTAGCAGACAGAGGAAGATCTGTCTTCCAGCTTTTTGGAAAAACCTGGATTGAGCTAATTCATTAACTGGAACCTCTCAGGAGTCCGTGTGTCTGAATAACTATATTGACTCAGCCCTCTGAGCTTCTCTAGCTCTTGTGATGGTGCAGGAGAGGTCAGTTTTTCAAGGCTAGATTTCTCATAAACATGACTTGTATTTGAAACATAGCATATCTTGGGTATCTCTTCAGTTATTAATAGAAGGTAGGGGAAAGAAATCTAATGTGTAAGCAATTCTCCCAGAGTTCTTCATAGGCTCTGCTCCCCTCTTTAGGGGTGGGGTGTAAAAAATCTAACCCAAAACAACAATAAACCCCCACCTTGTATTCTAAGTGAACCTGATAAAAGAATTTGGTTTGGTCTTTTACATTAATTTGCTTGTTGTGTCCTTTCAAGTCTGTTTAAAAGTGCATTTGGGTGTAAGTATCTCTGAATTCTTCACTAAGAAGACCTGATTTTAAAGGGATTCTCTTTCTTAACCAAGATTCCTATTCTCATGTGCAGCTACCTAAGACTTAAATGAGTTATTGCTGATGAGGAAGATGCCACTTGCACTTCTATTATTGTGGTGCAAGTCTACTACTATCTATTTCACATTTGCTCGCAAAAACTAACCTCTCTGACTGGAGGCTGATAATTGACCTCTCTGTGCAAGCCACTTGCTTGGATCTTGTGTCATGCTGGATGGTGAGGATGTTACAAAAGGTAGCAGATAACTTGTCTGCACATTTGTCTCTCTTCTTATGGTTAGTAGCTAGAATGCTTCCTGCAGGGCAATCACTTGTGAACTCACTAGCCTAAGCATGCTTCTGCTGCGCTCTTTAAGCCATATGAGTGCCTCTATCCAGCTTGGAACGTGGGTTCATGACACTTGCATTCCTGTCACTGGTGTATCAACAGGGGCTTGCAGACTTCACCTGTCACAAAAGATAGTCTTGCAAAAATCGCAATATCCTGAACTAATTATGATGACTTCACACTTTAACTGTTTTATTTTTCTTTACCTGAAACAAAGCTGCAGCAAGTAATAAGCTTTACTGTAGTAGTCTTTAAGAACAATCAGACCAAATGCTATTGCGTCTTCTGCTTGAGAAGCTGATGTCAGTGTTACTAACCTTCTGTCTGCGCCTGTGCTGCCACACAAAGGGTGAGATAGAACTGTGGCTGTGGGATGTTCCCAGCCCTGCCTGCCTTCTGTACTGGTGGGAGAGGCTGCAGGTGGCACCCAGCACCTGCAGAAGAAAGCGTAGGCAGTGCCAGGCTGAGGAGCAGAACCTAAGTCTAACACCATAGATACTGCAACCCCCTCGGCACTTCATTCCTGTAATATCTTAGCGGTACCCGTGCAAAGAACCATCTGCCTTGTGATGCGGAAGCCCTTAATGTTCAGTGGGGGTAAAACCAACCAAATAGGGCTTTTATGCATCTGCAGTGAAGCTGTGTGTGTCGTTTGCTTTGTTGTCAAACCTCCAACTTTCACCTGAAAACATCAGTGTTAAAATTATTATTTTCTGTGTAACTGTCTGTAGAGAACTGAAAGAATTAACCTATACAAAAGCAGATATGAAAAGTCAGCTTACGCAAATGATATTGCTTCCGTATACTTTCTTTGTAGGTTTATAAGGGCAATGACTTGTGAAACACAATTCAGAGTAACTTTAGATTTCTAACCCTGTAAAATATCGTATCTTCCGGTAGAGGGTGCTACAGGCAACCGAGCCGTCTCGTTTGCTTCTAAGAGGTTGTTGCGGAGTTTCATCCTGCCTGGACCACTCGGGTACGATGTACATTATTTTCCTATTAAGAAAATACTGACATAAAATCCATTGGGGCACCTCTTGTAGTTACAGAAAACATTCACGTGCTAATTCCTGATGCTTAACCAGGTTAAATATGGTACATCAGGGTACTGTTACTTAAAAACACAACTCTCTGCTTTTTAGTATACATGCAGTTAATTTGACTTTTCTATCTCTGTATATGGAAAAGGGGACGAGAACGCAGAACACTTATTGAATAGTGTTGTCTCTACTTTTTTTTTCCCCCTGAAGTTCTTGTTTCAGAATTATCTAATATACTGAGTTGTTAATAGAACACTGCAAATTCTTCTCTAAGTGCCTGACACCTCAATGACTTAATAATTAACTTTCTGGGGACTGAGACTTTGTTTTAATCCAAGAAAAATGTGTTCAGCCTATCCACCAATGAGCCCTGTTCTTGGCAGCACGTATTTCCACAAGCAACAATCTACAGCGATTATGAATAAGTGACTGGGGTGAGTCACTCCTTATTCTAAGAAAATGCAAACTATTTCTGAGGTTAGGATCACAGTCACCCATTAGGCTGTGTATCTAGCTTAAAAAAGTAGTAGGAGCAGAAAGGGTGAGGAGAATTGTTATTGCTCCTGGTTCTTGGTTTGTTGGTTGGGGTTTTTTTTGCATGTGTTGCCCAGCCAGATTTAAGAGCCAGCCTTCTTTATTTGGCAAATGCCTAATTCAGGATAAGGGCTGGAATAAATATCTGGTGGCCTATGTGTCAGTCTGCCAACTCCTCTGTGCTGAGAGCAACAATAACAGACCCCTGCTGACATCAACTGCCTTGGAATGCAGTTGTTGCTAATGCTATTTTATCTGTGGAGCGATGGCAAGATTTCAGTCTAAGATCCCAGCAAACGTAACCACCTCTGAAATTCTGATGCTAGCAGATGCTGCGTGCATGATTGCTTCCACTTGCTGTTTCCAAAGATGCTGGGCTCTGAAAGAGGAGCAGAGTAGTTCTGATTTTCTATGCTTCTTCAAGAAAGTGGAAGTTCACTTTCTGCTACAGGAAGAGCAGTTTAAACTGTGAAAAAAGCTAGAAATGGTTAAATTAGGAGAAATCTATTCTTTATTTCCCTGTAATTTAGACTGAAGTATTCTCTTAAGTGAAACTGCTTCCTGCCACTCTATACAGAATGATTTAAATTGCACAGAATTACACAGTGGTATATCAGCAAAAAAGAACAGCTGTAAGTTTACAGGAAAAGGAATTCACTAGCCAACAATATTTCACAGATCTCTTCTGCTTCTAAATCTATTTTGCAGCAGAGTAAACTGCAATACAAGAAAGTTATCCACAGACATCCAAGAAGTAGCTGGGAGAATTGACCTGGAGTCTGGGAATCCTGATGTCCATTCTTCGAGTTAACTCATGGCACCTCTGGTCACCATTATCTTTTTGCTGTATATAGGATTATCCCAGCAGGATTGAATCCCTTTTGGAATAAGGTACAACATCACGTTTAGGCACAGGTCTAAATTTTGGGAGTGTGTAAAATTTGGGGGGAAAGTATTGTTATTCAAAACAGAAGTAATTAATGAAGGTTAATTGTGACTAGTGATATTTGGCCTAGAGAGGAAAACATTGGCACTCTCACTTAAAACCTAATACATTAACCCTTTGGCTGGAGTTAAAAACTTAAGCTTGACTCACCTTGAGGGGAACGTGGTAGTAGAGAACTCTAAGAGGGAATTAGGTGATCCCTCCTAATGTTGGGAGGGGTGTACCTAACCCAGCTGCAAATTTCAGAGAAAAAAACCAAACAACATTCCCAAGAACACTCAAACTACGAGTGTGCAAAGTCGTTCATTGTGTTTGGAAAACAATCCCTTCTTATTGATTCTTAGCATGGCACTGATATGAGTCAGGCAGAAACTAGGCATGTAGATGGCTGAGACTTGATTTGCCGTGAGTTTCATAGCATTTCATATGGAATAAGGGTCACTGGATTCCAGTCCTGTTGCTGACTGCAGAGCACTGTCTGTCTCAGACTGGCTCCAGGAAATGGACGCTCTTCCGCAGAAGCCAGAAGATTTCGTGGAAGAGCTGTGGCCTGTTTCCAGGTTGCAGTTCACCCACTGCTCTAGGGAGTGGCATTAGTGGGAGGGAAGTGAAGTTGGGATTTAAAGGGATGAAGAGAGAGAAATTAAAGCAGGGTGGGGGGAAAATCCTGATAATTCTTACTAAGCAGAACTTGCTTGAC